TGATGGAGGGAGAGACTTCCACAACCTGGGGGCCACCGCTCTAAAAGATCTATCACCTCTGGTTTTAAAATATGTTCGAGGGACTACCAACAGCCTTTGATTAGAAGATCTCAGGCTGCGAGAGGGAGCGTGGGGTTCTAAAAGATCAGAAATGTAAGCAGGGGCGTCACAATTCAAAGCTTTAAAAGTCAGTACCAAGATTTTAAAATGAACTCTGAAATGTACTGGAAGCCAGTGTAATGAACGTAATACTGGTGTAATGTGCATCATTCTGTGTTAATCATCAACATACAAAATAGCTTTTTACATATTACACATTTCTCTTTGTGTTTTTGTGAATCAGAGAAAGAACTTGATGAGTATTCCAGCTACTACAACTCCAAGCGCCGCTCCAACAACGCTCCGCCCTCCTTCTACTCCTCTCAGCACCACCTGCCCTGGGGAGGGGACTACACGCTGGGATCGAGAGGCACGCTACCCCTCCACGGCTCTCGGCCCCACCTCCACATGCCGCCCTCCACCCCGAACCCGTACCCGCTCCCTTCCCAGTCGCAGTACACCAGCTCCAGCTTCGATAGGCCACCGCGCCGTGTCCGCTCCCAGGACCAGCTGCTGGCATTCGGGGAAGGCAACACTCTGTCCCGCCTGTCCAAGAACCAGCAACACCAGTACTACAAAGCCATGATGAGCACCAGCAGGAGCTCTACATCACAGACGCTGCGCAGGTGAGATCGGGGATAAGAGGTGAGGTGTGATCAGATAGGACAGAGAGAAGCAGCAGATGAAATACTAAAGACAAAGGAGTCAGATCAGAGAAGAGGAAGACGAGAGAAAAGAAGGGATCATAGAGATATGAGATGACGTGAGAAGATGGAGGTGAGATGAGTCAAATCCCATTAAGAAAACATAAGAACAAAGGGAATCAGGGTGTAATATTTAATCAGTATCAAGAGTGGGACAGTTTCATTAAAGTTTAAAGAGTCTGGCAAGGTGAGGCTTCACGCTATTGACCCTTTAAAGCCGGTCGGAGCGGGCACGCTCTGTTTTGCGTAACTATTTTTAAATCCCGGTAGCTCTGCAACCACGTGA